GGGGGGGGTGGGAGCTGAAAACTGCTGTTACTTCAGTACCTTGCAAAAATATCTGTCATAGGGGAAAACTGTTTTCCAACATCATCCTCCGAGCTGGACCGACAAAGGTACATATTTAGCTTCTGGCAGGTACACAGCTTTGAATGAGACAACATGATGTAACCGCTATTTTAAAGTGTCATATGCTGTGGTCTCTGCCTCCTAGGGAAAGCTTCATCCTACTGTCTTCTCTACTAATTGGAGGGGTGGAGGCGGGACAGGGAGAGCTGCACGAGGTTTATCTAACCTCTGTTGACAGACGCCAGATCTTTTTTCCATACAGCACTTATACAAGTAAACCTTATTCCACCAGGGCATGAAAAGTCATTTCAATGGCAACCTAAACTGGATTCAAGCCTGAGAGATTTCATTAGTATCTCCCTCTTCCCCCCTCCCGCCCCTCCCACCTGCTGCCACAAACAAAACAGAAACTTTCAGCACATATTAACTGTACCTGCATGAGCTCAGACTGCTCAGCCAAAGCCTTCCTCTGCGCTTCCAGTGATGCCACCTGCTGCTGGTAAAGCAAACGCTGCTTCTCCCAGTCAAGTGATTTCTGACGGAACTCCTGCAAGGACAGCAGGGGTGGTTTCGAGCAGTACATCCATGCGGTTGACAAAAAGGCCCCCTTCTAGTTCACATCCACGTTTGCTTTCTCTCTCCACCATGTCCTCATGCACCTTTCCCCACAGCAGGGAACCCATTAGCCAGTCATTTGATGCACCAACTCAGCAGTATAAAACTCCTCACACACTGTGCTTGCTGTATTTCTTTCCCTCCCGAGTTAAAACGTCAGTGTCAATTATTGCTGTTTACACATGTTAAGTGCTAACAGATTCATGGCCAGTTTCATGGATCTGCTGTCAGAGGATTAGCAATTCAGACTGGCTTTAGCTTCCAAAACATGCTGCTATTGAAATCACTGCGATGGCAAGTACGAACCACTGAATTTTAATGCTAATCTCTGCTCCAGAAATTGGACACTGCATCAGTCAGATGTGTTTGTTAGCCACATCTCCAGGGCACAGCAGCAGCAAAGTGAGCACGGCTGAGCTCAGCATAGCAGAAAGATTAAAAGATGAGACAGGTTTGAGAGGAAGTTTGACATGTAGCTCCCTGCTCCTCAAAGAAGTGAGATGACAACCTCACCACACTGGAACTCATTCCATTCACGTAATTAATTACCCTTCCAGTGCCTTCTTCCTTTTATTTAGTCTAAGAATAAGAACAGTGGCACAGTTTATCCTGTGTACTCAGAGGCCCCAACACAGGAAACTGCCTTTATTATACAAGCAGTTGAGAAGAGCTGCACCTGGAGAGTAAATGGAGAGTACTTTTCAAGCAGGACTCACAGTCCACTTCCTAGTTGACTGTTCAGTGACCAGTGAAGCCCAGAAAGTCAGTTAATACATGCAAACTCTGATCGGCACTTGCTTTTTCACCAGATACCTCCAGCTTCCTGGTCAGCCGGCTGGTTTCAAACGGGTCCTCCCCTTGTGTCTTGTTACCTTCTCCTCTGGCTTCTCTTAACCGTTTCTTCTGCAGCTTCTCATAGCCCCTCTTCAGCCTGGACAACTGCAAGGAATACAGTGAAAGAGAGAACTTTGTTCAAGGCCCCAAGGCAAGAATTAAAGAGCACTTTGAAAGAAGGCACACCAAATGGCCTCACACAAACAATTCCCCTAATCAAGGCTGCTCCCCTTGCAAGGGAAGACTTCTATTTGTAACATGAGCCTATTATACCAACAGGATTGCAAAACACCCTGAGTTGTATAAGAGTAGCAAGATGCCACTGAAGTCGCGACATGAGCAGCTCTCATTAGACCTCTGTCTTACCACTGTTAAAACAGGACTAAAATATTGCTAAGAGGGAGGCTGACATGTAGCTGTCACTGCAGCAAGAGCATGGCATCCCTCTCTCTACAGCAGGCATTACCTGGGGTTGATTTCCTCGCACAGAGGTGGGGGACAGTTCTGCACAGAGGTACAATTTCTCATGGGATTAAAGCACGCTTGTGGAGCTCAGGTGGGAACTGGAACCCTTCCACTTGGTGGGAGAAGGAAGATTTGAGAATTGCGATTATAACACAATATCAAAACTACTTCATGTGTCATTTTCTGCTGAGATACACTACATATTCACAATGAGTGGAGAATGCCAACAGAAAATATCACTCCCACGCCTACTGCTAGAACGCTAAAGTCGTATCAGAAGCAGGAAATTGACATTTAAATGACCCTCTGTGCAAATAATCACCTGCGACTTGCACAGAATTTTCCATCTGATGAGCTCCCCCCAACTCAACTATTAAATAAAGAGTTTCCAAACAGCCACATGAATTTGAGAAGTCACCATTCCATCTTACCGATGGAGAAAGCTAAGCCCATGGATGAACAGAAGGACCACGAGAAGAAAAAATATCTGAATCAAGACCTCATGTGCTGGTCACAAAAGGTTCTCCAGAGCCCTGAACCAGCAAAGTACTTTGGCATGTTGAGTGGGAATGGACAGGGGTATAGGCTTAGAGTTAACATCCAAACATCTTCTGCCAGACGCATCAGGAGATTACAGGTTCATTCTTTCAACAATCTCAGTGAGTTAGACACTCTACCTGTAATTTTATGGTAATGGTGGTAAGCCAAGACAGAAAGAATTTCCCCAAACAGTACTAAGAACAGAAGACTGAGGACTACTGGAGGTTAATGTCACCTAGGTGAATACTGTGTGGGTACAAGACTAACACATTGCAATTTTGGCCACAATGCCCACACTGCATTTTAGCCTGCGCAATTTAAACAGATGTGCCAATGCACCTCAGCTTTGCTTTCCAGCTTCATCCACAATTCCAGTGGGAGCAGCCAGTGAATGAACACTGTCAGTCATCGTGAACAGTAAGGGGTTTTAAATGAGAGCAGGTGCCTTCTGTTGTCAAAGCAGAGACCACCAAAATATTTTAACTTATGGCTTAGAGTGAGCATGAACTAGGCCCAACCCTCCAGAGAAATCAGGTCACTGCTCTGCTAGCTGCTCATGCCATTTCACTCACTGCTACCGAGAAGCACGTGGAGACAGGCAACGAGTTAAGGCATCAACATGGAATGCTGTTATACCGCCTGCAGGACATTCCACATGTACCACCTTGCGGTGAATAAGAAGCTTTTTGAGATGAAAGCTCTGAAATTATTTTCAAAAAAGATTCTCTAAGTATACTTAGTTTTTTTTAAGTGCATTAAGATTAATATACCTTGAGAGAATAAAATCTTTACTAACAAAATCCGAGTCAATGGAGGCAAAAAGATGAGACAACATACCATTCTCATCTCTCGACCTCAGATGACCAAGGCCAGTTACACCACCACCCTTTTCTAATGTCACAAATACTGAAGGAGCAAACTGCTGCTGCCTGTACCCATGGCAACTTCAGAATGAGTACTGTGGTGACTACGATGGGTGATCGCAGACATTTTTGCAGTAAACTTTTCCAGACGTCTAACACGTGAAAACTGCAACAATACATTCACTCCACATTTCTACTCTGACAGTTTTCTGTTTGTCACCGAGTTCCTCCAAAGTGCAACAAACAGGCCTAATGAAGCATAAAAATATTGCTCTGTCTAGGCCCAACGCTCGTTTTTGTAAGAACATAAACATTAAAAGAACGGGAAATTTTAAAACCATTTTAAACATTTAAAACCATTTTAAAACATTTAAACAAAAGCAATGGCACCAAGTATTTCACCTCTCAGATCATGTATCAACTGGGAACCAAAAACCAATCTTCTCTTTTTGCAACTCACCTCCTCTTGAAATTTCTTCAGCTGTTGTTCATATTCCCTAACCATGTCCTGTTTGTCTTTTTCCATGTCTTCTACCTGGAGACGCAACATGTCAACCTGAATGAAGAGTTAAAAAGCAAATACATAAAACAACAGAAACGGACTTTGTTCTCAGTAGGTATTGGGATTAGTTTTCATTTTATAAATACACATTCTATCAGGAGTGATAAATGACTATTAAAAGATCCTAATTCTGTTAACAACTGTGTGTTTCAATGGGGTCACTCGCTATGAATCACATTAAGTCCATGCCTAAACCTTTAGTAGGCTGGGGCCAGAACTGTTTCTGTTCTGGCCTCTTGTTTTGAGTCAGTTTCTGGCTTTCAGTTTTTGTGATGAAACTGGCAGTTTTGGCTTGTGTCAAAAGGCTATTTTTATCCGGCATTTTCATCACATTCTTCATAAACACACATTAGGATTTCAAGCTACCTATCAAGAGAAAAGATGGCCATGTCATTACCTTACTATGCTCACGGGAAGCAGAGATTATGAATAATACATGGAGATGAGGGAGACAGCGGGGCTTTGAAACTCGCTGGGAAGACCTCCCTTACATTGATTCAAACACTACTGGGACTCATTTTTGTCCTTTTTTTTTCCCCCGTCTTTTTCTCATCCACAACCCAAAGCGGCCACCTTTGTAACTACAAGTCCAAAGGACAGCAAGCCAACAACTTAAATTAAAAGAGATCACCACAGAAAATTCCTATGAGTAAACCAAAAGCACGAATATACTCCAGTAGTGCCTTTAACCACCCTTTACAGTCTGGTTTTGAAATCAATAATGTTTGCTTTTGGTGGTAAGAAATATTTCAAAAGTGTCTTGAGAAAACACAATTGATAATAACAGTGATAGCTGTATGACAAAAATCACCATTCTTGCAAATAAAAATACAGATTTACAAAGACCTTAATTCCAAACCTGCCATGTGGACCAGCAGAAGCAGCTGACCATATTAACAAGAAACTACAGAGTTCTTAACTCACTGCTGCTACAGTCTGTCACATTTCCCTTTATTTTACTAGATTCCACAGCAAATTACTAAAAGCTACAGCAGTACTTGGGTAATTTTGAGGATGTAAGAGTAGCTGTAGTAGAGTTGTACCGGCACCCAAAAAACCCAACTGCTTCTGTGGTGATCGGCTAGCTTTCGACTCGAGAAGTCAAAGCAACTTCCTCAGAGAGATGCCAAAACACCATTTGCAGTGAAGACTCTGCCGAAAGACAGGACACAGCAGCTATAACTATAAGGACAAATTTTAAACCCTTTCAGAAAAAGTCCATGCGGCTAGATCTTCCACCCAGACTCCTGCTGCCTTCCTCTGATCCAAGAAAGGACACACCAATTCATTTGCACAAGTGGAAGTTTACAGTCCACATCCTATACAAAAACTTCACTCACTGATACTTCTCCACAGATACAGAAATTTGGTGTACTTCACCCAGGCCTTTAATTAAAGGCTGCAAAACCTGTGCTGCATTAAATCATCCTTGGAGAACCTCCCACCATTATCTTGGTGTAGTTTACAACACTCAATGTTATTTCTGCCAATGACTGCACACTGTCAATCACCGTTGTATCTAGATTCAGAGTCTCTAGGTGCTCTCTAGAAACTCAGACAATTCAGTCTGTGGACGTCCACCGACCCTTAGGGAGCTGATCACTTGACTTTGATTGAATCATGAATCAGACACCTTGTTCCAACAGGCTTCTCTGCAAATTCTGTTCCTGATTTCCAATTATGAGACAGGTTCCTGTTTTGCTCAGCACAGCTATTTGCTGAAGGTAACCCCTTGCTTCAGGTTAGCATTTAAACATTAAAAAAAAAAAACCCAAACTGATGAATCAATAACTGAAACACATATCCATGCAAAGTCAAATTCTGTAATACAGGTTCAGTCTTTATCTTGTGCTGTAACACATAAAACACACACGCTGACACCCAGCAGAAACCAGTACAAGCCTGAGGTACCTCTTTACTTTTCTCCTGCAGAGCTGCCCTGGTAGAGGAAAGCTCCTGCTCTCGAACACTCAGGCAAGCTTCCAAAGCCTGTGTCTGTCCTTCCCATTCAGATTTCTTCTGAGCCACCATGATGTCGATCTGCTTCATCAACTCCCGCAGCTCAGCATCACAGGAAGTCACAAACCCACCGCTGGAAGGGACCACCCAGCAAAGGTGCAGTGTTCCGTACCACCAAGGGCAGCAGAACAAACTGACTTGCACCAGGGGACTAACTCTTTGAACTCCATGTAAATTAGCTTGCAGAGAAATACACTTAATCCTCAGGCGTTCAGCCCATCCTCTAATGCAGCATCTCACAAGTGGTGTGTTCCTGCCGCTGGGCACAGATCTACATTTGGCAATGACTAAGGAAGACTACTTGTGAAATCCATCCCAGTGAGAACAAATGACCTACACACCTCAGATGCAGGGGGTTTGCCTTCTGTACAGAGAACTGCTACAAGTACCTATAAACACTTACCCCTTTGTCTCGGTACTACGTGCTGTCTAAGTAACCCTGAGCATGTTTTATCCATATTTTGTATCTGCCTTAATTGCTCTCCAGGCAGAGGCATTTTATACCAAGTTTCAGCCACCAGAGAAATCTTAAGAGCCAAGCTATCAGCTCCTGAAAACAGAAGTTTACCACAAATGCAGACAAACCCCGAAGTAGAGGGGGTTGGATGACAACATGATAATGAAGAATAAAACATTTGCAATCCATCGGGGAGAGCGTGCTCCCTGGCGACGCTGCAGTTTCTAATTTGGTGCAGTAATTATTGAAGCCAATTCAACTAACTCCTCTAAAACTTCTCAAGCTGCTAAGGCAGGGACAATATTAAGGCTTGCAAGATACATTCCTAGAGGGGGGTGAACTCCATTACGATCTTTACCCCTTTAATTTGCCTGTCAAACAGGAAGCACTGAAAAGAAATGGAAATCAATACGTTAAGGGATTGAAATTTCTCTGTTCCCCCAGAGCATGTGCACGCTTCACAATTTGGCAGTTTTTCTATAAGGAAAGACATACTTCTTAAAGGAGCCAAAATCAGTTAAATTGGAAGTTTGCCCTGTCCTGCGTGTTAACCAAAAATTAGCAGCTATTATGCAGAGCAAGAACATTTCCTTCACAGCATCTGCTAATATAAAGCGAAGTCTAAACTTGATTTCTGCAACCAGTTTTCTGTAGAAGATGCAGTATCAGTCAACGTGAGTCACATTCTCAAAGATGACTATGAAAATGGCATCAGTGACTTTTGCTTCATGCTTGTTTAACACATAAAACATTTTTTTCTATTATTGGCACTACAGTCTCTCTCCGGGATCCAATAGCCTAGATACTTTCACCTAAGACAGAGCACTAAGGATTCTTCAGAGATGAATGGGACTCTGCAGTTTCGACAAGAGCAGGAAATAATCAGATGTTTTCAATAAAACCAGATTACAAAGTCATGTCTCATTAACCTTGCAAGACTGTTAAAAAATAAATATTTATTCACACCTCTAATTACTACTGCTCCTGATGTTAGATGGTAAAACGCTTTTACAATAACAACATCAAAGAGGTAACATTTCCAGGAAGATGTAAAACTAAGTTTCTAACAATTACGACTATAATATCTGACAAGGGATTATTGCAAAGCCTGCACTGTGCTAGTGGACAAACTCCAAAACCCTTACTTAAGCAAGAGAAGTTTTGTCTGACACCAGAAGATTTAATTCTGAATAAGAAGGAAGGTTAATACATAAATGATCTTCAATGTCTGGTGTATACTGTTGCATACATACCTCCCCTGCCCATTTCTTTGCACTCCTTCCAGCAAAGCCTCCATCGCCAAATCCTGGTGGCTTCAGCAGCTAGGAAAGCAGACAAAAGCAGCGGTCACCCATGGCAATGTAGGAACAAGGATCTTTCTACATCCAACTGCAAAACAAGCACAAGTCCACAGAGGAAAGAAGTTAAAAAAATTACAATTAGCACACAATTACAGGGGAGGAAAACAAAACAACCTTCAGGAACTTACAAGCCAAATATCTGCCAAATAAAGGAAAACAGATTTTTCTGTTAAAAAAAAAAGAGCCAACGCAACCATTCAGCACTATCGAATTGTGGTGATATAATCATGGAATATACAAATAACTCAAACAGCAGCAATGAAGAGAGAATCTGAACTTCAGCAAACAGGTGAACTCAACACTGCGGGACTGGCAGATCTCCCGTCTCCTGGGTGCCCCAAACTGCAGAGGATCAGTGACACTCAGGGACCTCCCAACACGCCAAAGATCCACCTCTCAGAGGGGTATTTGCCACTTCAGAGAAAAACCGTAAGCACCTTGTAGCAGCAAGTAGCAGCACGAATCCCCCCATAAATCAGATCTCTCCCAGGTCTCTATTACAGACTAGGTTAAAGAGATCACACTGTTTAGGATCGCATTCTGGACACACTGCTAGTTCATATGGTTGTGGAAATTTTATTTTAAGATAGTACTAACACTTCACAAACTCTTCTGGTGCCTCAAGCTATGAAAATAAGTTGCTCACATTTATAGTAGCGGTACACTGTCTTAGTTAAAAATTACACCCTTTAAGCCATGAACACATGGATGTATGCACACACATATAAGTTTCACTTATTTGTGAAGCAAGACAGGTTCAAATTAAAAGCAAAAACAGGGATTTAAAAAAAAAAAAAAGTTACCATGGAACCACACAGGGCTCCTCCAGGAAACTGTGGCTCTCTAACAGAAAAATGGTTAAACTCATCCTGAGGATACAAAACTACACTTCAGTTTCACTCTGGGGAAGTGTTTGCACCATCTTCTGTTTCTAAAATGCACTTTCTCAAATATTTAGAGATGGAATATCTTTCCCCAAAGATTAATATGGCATTATTAGCAATCAACAAAAGCAGGAGCAGGTCACAGAAAATAAGACTTTCAGAAACACAGGCTCAGCTTTGGTCTTTCACTTCCATCAGAGCTTCTACACGCTCCTACAGCATTTTAAACCACCATCCAGAGATTAAAGCCTGTCCCTGGGAGTTCAGCTGTATTTTAAACCACACACATACAGAAAATTGGTATTTCTCCAAGGAAAAAAAGAAAATTCCTATCCTTACTCTGATACAATGTTTTGTCTCTCTTTGGTCCTGTCTGTGCTTAACAAAACTCAATCAGTATGCAGAACATCCTTGTTGTACTGCTGATGGCAGAGCTGCTGAGCAGAGCAGACGAGCAGATCCCCAGAGCTGCTGACAGCACTCCAGGAGACTTCTCCAGGTGGCCACAGCAAACATTAGCCAGTAGCAGCTCTCCTGTCTCATTCTAATCACACCTACACAGAATCGATTTTCAGTGGGCAGCAGAGAGATTTCATTGTCCACCACTGAGAACATCTGCTAAAACTAAAAAAAAAATAATAAAATACAGAGAACAATGCAGGTCCTTTATCAGCAGCTCCTTCCTCGAGTTTGGGATCAGTTCAACACTGAAGGTTCTAGTGCCATGAGAAGCCAGACAGCTCCTACTCTTGCTTCTGTTCGTCTTTAAGCAGGGCCCCCAAGGTAAGACCCCCGAGTCTGCCACCCTGCCCGGGTTTGGGGAAAAAGCCTGGAAACCCGACAGCCTAAGTGGTTTAACGATACACCAGGTGTGGTGAGGCAGTGGTATATTCGGACCTCTGCAGCCCGCAAGGCGCGATGTGCAGGTTACAAGCAACCGAGCCAGGATCCACGCAGACACAGGAGGAAGCCACGGGAGAACCCAGCCTCTGCCACTGGCTACAGCTGGAACCACCAGACCGGCCTGCCGCTTCTGCAACGGAAGAAAAAGGAACTATTTGGAAAAGAAAAGGAGATGAAACACTTAAAAATCGACCAGGTTTAGCACCTCAACTCAGGAAGGAACCCCTGCAGT